TAGCATTTATATTGGAAGTCAAGAAAGAGAGGAGCTGCTGGCAATTTAATAATAATATGAATAATAATAGCTAACAATTGCCCTTCCTTCCTTGTTAGTTCTTTCAATCTATGTTTACCCACAGTCTTCCTTCTTCATTATAGCTTATATAGCATTTATTAGTTTAAAAATTGTGTTATAAGCCATATCCTGATGAAGGTGTTATCAGGCAACCACAATATGAAATGGGTTGCCTGGATGTAGGTCCTCATGAGCTTAAAAGAGACTTAAAGCAAGACTCAACTGCAGGCATACACAAAAGGGTTAATTTACCAAAAAAGGGGGAATGAATAATAAATAGCTCAAGGAGTAAGGGAGGGAGATAAATTGGTGAATATATCCTACCAATTCCCACTGAGTTACAACCCCAATAGAACCCTGAAAGCCAGCAAAAGACAGGAAACCCCCACATCTGGTTAAATACCTACCTGACTACTTAACTCCATCCTCCATTTTCAGCAATCCTCCTTAGGTGATAAGGGCATTATGGAATTTGTAGTTCTTGGTGTCTTGGATCTCTTTGGTCTGGGGTAGGGTGGAGTCCATAAAACCTGTGTTTGTGGAGTTTGCTTAGAACATCTTTTCCCCCAGCAAGGGGAGTTCTGTTTTATATTTTCATTGGGAAAGAGAATTAGACAAGGGGTACTAAGTACCATGCCCTTATATGTGTTATTTGTATTTCATAGCAATCCTTGAAATTACATAGTTACCCATTTTCTTTTACAAAAAGTGAGAAATTAGGTCCAATAAACATCTAGTAAGTGTATGTTCACTAAAATAAAATTCTGAATTGTGGTTAGAAAAAATGTTTATTAGATAATTAAAGTGCGTATTTAAACCTGGAAAGCAATTCTATAGATTTCACTCTGTGTGAACTGTTCCAACAATCACAAGTTTGAATATGTTAGCCAGCAGATTGAGGGGCCCTAGACCCCCAAACTTGTATAGCCTGCATTGATTGTGCCATCCACTGCATAAAGACATACTCTCAATGTATGAGACCTTTATTTATTCATAATATTTATACTTTATTTATGCACACAAGAACTGGGGTGTAGGCCAAAGGTGCAGGGGTAGGGTGAGAGGATTCACCAGAGACAGAGACAGAGTGGGGAGCAGAGTAGGTGTGGATCTCATGAAATACACTGCTGAGGGGAGCAGAGACAAGACAGTAGAGGTCTGCTGTGCCATTTGGGTCAGCTCCCTGGCTGAGGATCGAACTTGTATCTCAGTGGCTGGGAATATCTTGATAGTGCTGAGACTTTAAACCTTGCACCACCACGGAGGCCCATGCATGAGACCTTTAACAGACAAAGAGTTTTACAACAATTAGTGTATATAGCAAGAAGAAGAAAGAATTTAGTTAAAATATTTTCCCATGAAACACCTCAATTACCCATCCCCTCGTGGATAAATCCCAACCAAAAAGGATAGGACCTGGGCTACTGAGACCCGAAAGCCTGCCACAATTCTAAGGCTCCTTCAGATGAGGACCCCTAGGAATAGGGCAGAAAGGGCCTGACAGGAAAAAGAGCAAGATCATAATTAAAGTCAAATAAAGCCTGCTATTGTTTGCTTCTCATGTGTCTCTCATCCACGTTTCTGTCTCTTTGAAGTGTTTCTAACCATGTTCCCCAAGTTTCTAAGACAGAAGTAAGTGTGGCTTCTTCTCATGTCTCTCTGCTCCATGTGCCTCCTCGAAGTCTTGAGTTTGTTCTTCCTTCTTCTTCTGGCTGCTCAGCTCCACCCTTCCTGGGTTGGGGGCAGGGAAGCTGGAACTTTCTTTTCTGTGTTATCATACTGATATAAATACCATTTACGTGTACAGGAACAGTGAGTCATTGATCTCAAAACTGCCATTCGTCTCCTCAGGGGGCTTTTGCTCTTCATCTATAGGGTTCGATCTTTTCATTTATTAAGGTATAATTTTTAACCCAAATAAATGTGCAAGTTGTGGCAACCTAATATCAGGATGAAACCAGAGGTGCAGTGGTGAAATAATTCACTGGAGACAGTGGAGAACCAAAAAGGCATATTTACTGAAATACCCCTGCAAGGGAGCAAAGGGTAAGTCAAGAGATATACCCCTGCATAAGAAGAAAGATTTGAGGTTTTCTTTCAACTCTGCTTTCACACACAGGCTTTCTTACTTGTGGTGCCAGTTTGCCTCAGTTATCTCCTGGGGTGTCTGGTTTGGTGTTGGCCTTTGACATACACTGGGCCCTGGCCCTTCCGCTTTCCTGAAGCTGCACTGGTCCATCATAAGTATGGCCCACTTCCCATGGCAGCCTTACCCCTTCCCTTATCTATCAAGCTTACCAAACTTACCTGCTAGGCAAGAAGCCATGGGGGCTTAGTTTTTAACCATATAAAATGGTTAAGCATTTTAACTTTGGCAGATCTGTTGTTTACATACTGAAGAAAGGAAATTTTATGAGATTTAATCACTTACCTGATTTTGAAAGAATGTACTACAATAATGAAAAGACTAAGTATCCATTATTTAAATTGTCTTTATCTGACTTGTTGGTCATTAGTAGGGGAGAGGGCTCTTTAGGAGTGTGGTTTCCCCCAAACACCAAAGTACTGTATGGTGATTTCAAAGAATAGGACAGAGACTGTTCTGACTTTTAAAGCCTGTTCAGGTGGCTTTATTCTTTGTCTGCTAGATCAGGGACTCAAGTGTGCAGGAGGAGTCCCAGAGGTGAGGAATCCCAGAGAAATCACAGTATGTTCTCCAGTAGTCACATAACCAACAGTGACCTGGAACATGTTTGTATGAGGTGATGAAAACCAATTGTTATATATGCAATATTGATAGCAAGAAATGAGGTTCAGTGGAGGTATTAACATCCAGAAAATCAGTAAAGACAAAGAAGCAGGATTCTATTACTCCTATTTGCTCATTGCTCTGCAAAAAAGGAAAAATAATTTTATTTCTGTTCATCAGAGTTCTTCTTTGAGACTGCAATATATAAAAAAGACAGATTAACAAGAGGAAAAAAAAATGGAAGTATGCTAACATAAAGTGCTTCATACATACATAGGAGATGCCCAGGGAAAAATGAGAACCCAGCCAAGGAGACTTAGAATTCAGGATTAAATACCACCTTAATTGGGAAAGGACAGTAGACCTTTTAGGGGACAATACATGATTTTCCAAAAAGATGAATGGATTTTTAGAAGAATACATAGGAGATATCATAGTTTATGACAAAGTCCATCTCCTTTCCTGTGACAAGAATCAGTCTGACTCGGTTGATGAAAGTACTCAGAAGAGGATTAACAAGTGTTGTCAATTAACTTATTTTGGTCATTCTATCTTTAGGCACATAGAGGAGTTCAGTGAGAGCCTCTCTCCCTGCGTTTGCTGTTTTTCAAGTGCCTGTCACTAGAGACAGTCAACATATCACAGCAGCATACTTTTGGGTAGTGTGTTCTGCCCAATACCCTTCACCTCTACGAGCAGGTTACTAGCTCACCACTACCAACTTACTGAATTTCAGAGCAGATTCAAACCCAGGTTGCGAGGGGTAAGGGATGGACAAAAGTGCGTGAAGTGGTTAAAAGGCACAAACTTCCAGTTATAAAAGAAATAATGTTTACTATAATGAATGCTGCACATTTGAAAACTACTAATTTTAAGTTTTCCTTTTATGCATACATACACATATATTTTTTTATTTTTTTCTTTTTATCATTCCTCATTGTGCACATTTTTTCATCTCAGTTGTAATTCCCATGGACTTCACAGCAATTCACTCAAGTGCCATCACCATAGTCTCATGTGCTCTTCCTGCCTCAATTTTGATGCTGTTCTTCTCTCCACCCCCATAGAATGACTCTGGTTTGTAGTTGCTTGTTGATTTTCATTATTGCTTTACTACAATTGCTTTTTTTCCCCCTCTCATCTCATACACTCACTCCTGCTATGAGTGAAACCATCTGCTATTTTCTTTTTTCTTTCTGGCTTATTTCACTAAGCATGATCCCTTCCGGCTCCAGGAAAAAATGTTATGACTTTGTATGATAATTAATGTTAGCTAGAAGTATTAAGCTGATCATTTTTTAATATATGCATATATTGAGACATTATGTTTTATACCTGAAACTAATACAATGTTGCACGCCAGCTATATTTTCACTGGGGAAAAATATAAGAAGTTTGCATAATAAAAAAAAAGCACATATGCATTCCTTTCTTCAAAGTTTATGGTGCTTAGGTTCTTAAATAATTAAGAGCAACCTAATTCAAAGTTTCAGTATACACAATTGTAACAGTAGATATCATTTTCTCTTTGATCCTTTGTTTAATTTTTTTTCTGTACTTTTCAAATACACTTGCTTTATTTGGTATAACCTAAGAGTTCATGTTTTCTTGTGCATATTTCTGTTATGCCTACTGTAATATCAGAATACTAAAATTGAGTTGAAATATGATAGATAAAATGCTTACAAAGTAGGGCAAGATGTAGCATTTACTTTGATTATTGCTATTTCATTATCTACTTAAAATATCATCATGTAGGTAGTCTCTTTCGTCCACAGCTATTTAATTTACAGATTGCAGCTATATTTTAAAATTCAATTTATAATTACTTAAATATCTAGCCTCAAAAATGTAAGTAAGCTTTGGTATAGGCACTACTATATGCTAGAGTTAGAGCATTTTCAAATAGTACTGAAAATTTCAAGACAGAAAAAAATTAGCATCTGAGACTCCAGGCAGAAAAATCAAGAATAGTATATGGATAATCTTCCCTGACACCCCAGTAAAGTTGACAAATTTTAAAATGTGAAATTGAAAAATAGAGTCCTCAAGTATTACTTTTGGCTTTGAAAAGGCATATTTTTAAGCAATCACTAAAACATGACAAAGACTTATTGAGGAATGTACACACACATGCACATACACACTCATATGCAGCAACTAAGCATGTGTGTGTCCCTTTTAATTTCAGGGGTGCCTATGGTCATGAGACAGGGAAACGGCCTTGGATTACTGGAGATGAGACTATTGTAGGCCTCATGACTGACATTGTAGGTAAGTACCAAATGAATTTGTTGGAACGCAACTACACAGATAATTACTTTTTATTTTAAATATAGACTATACATTCAAAATCTTATTGATAAACATGCTGATTTTATATTTTATCCCATTATGGCTAACAAAGGTAAGCATGTCTTTAATTTAAACCTGTTTGCCATGAAGAACAGAGAATACAAGGTATTTTTTTTCTTACATATTCTAAGACCAATATTTACTTTCAATGAAAAATACATGTATTTATTGACAGTTAAACCAATTTCATAAAAAGCAACTTAAACAATGAACTACATGTGCTAAAGATTTAAAAGACTGTGTTGGTTACATTTTCAATAAAATTATAATGGTCAATTTAAAGTTATACTGATTGAAAAATACTATAATCGATGCTGTTTTTGGTCTACAGGTGTGTCCTAAAGTTAACTACTTGAATGTATTCAAGTAGTTTTTAGATGATACAGGTGTTTATGTGTGTGTGTGTAAATACATACATATATATATATATATATATATATATATAAGACATTGGATATTCAGAATTCTCTGAAATTTTATAAAGAAATTCTTTTATAAATTCTATACAAATTTTAGATTATTGAAAAATTAATGATATTGAGCAGGTTGGAATAGTGTGACTTGGAAGTATTTGATGTCATAGGAAAACCCCAGCTACCAAAATGCTTTTGAAAGCTTCATTCACTTATTGGCAAGCATAAAAATTTATATTTATTGCTTCATCCTAATTATGTCTTGGCTGGTAATCAAAATCAACTTGAGCTCAGTGAGAAATTAAAAGAGAGCAGGAGAAACAGAAGTTACAGAAAAAATTATGCCAATTGGCAAATTATTAAAATTTGGGGAATATCACTTTTAGTCAAAATTATTGAACCTTTGCTATATATCAGGATTTATGGTGGCCACTGATGGTAGTCATGGACTTCCATACAAAGACATGTAAAATTAATATATATGCACATCATCATATAATACAAAGAAAATAAAATTAATCATTGGTGTTGGTGCTTCTAAAGAGACAATTTCCAGTAAATGATGGACTTTGAACACATGAAATTTAGTATTTTTTTCTCTGGGATAGCATTGAAAAACTCTTACTAGAACTAGGAAAAAAAAAACAAACTTAGAAGTGTGAGCCCAAAGGACAAATAGAATGGCTAAGGAGACAGGAGTTGAACAAGGTAGATGAACAGGCAACTGCCTTTACTTAAAAAAAAAAATAAAATAAAAGGTAACATTCTTAATCTTACAATTTTGAAAAATAGCAAGTCACTCACTTCACACTGCAAATCCTTCAAAAGCTTGGGCAACACTCCTCATAGTCACCTCTAGAAGTGGAAATGAAGATAGGATAGGATCAGAGACATTGTTTGAAAGTTTCTGTCTGAAGTACAGTTGGAATTTCAGTATACTTTATCCATTCCATGCTGCCAGGCAAATCTCCCCTACTATCAGGGTCTGTGGTGAGGGAGAATAAGGGGTTAAGAGAGTGTACATGCTATACTTGTAGCCTCAAGTTCTGAGAACACAATACCATATACTAGGTGACTTGACTACCAAAAATCTATTTTGTCAAAGTCCAGCTTGGAAACTTGAAACAGGCGCTCTCAAGGATGGTTTCTGTTTTGGTCTAGCTTTCAGATTTGTGGCTGGCTACCTTCCAGGTCCTTACTGTGGCCTTTCCTTTGTACACACTCAGAAAGTGTGCAAACTATTCTTCCCTCATACAAAGACACCGATGGTTTTGAATTTGACCTCATTTCATCTTTATTACTCTCTTATAGGCTTATCTCGAAAATATAGTCACTCTGAGGGTTAGGACTTCAACAAATGAATTTTGAGAGGGCACAGTTCAATCTACAATTTATCCCATACTAGAAACAAAATATTTAAATAAATATTTATCCACTTCTGCTTTGATTAACTCTAGGTATTCAGACAGTTACAAGAAAGTCTTTGTAATGTTTGGGCAACCTAAAGATTCTTACTTGAGTTTTCCCAGTACAATTGTCCATTTAGGTCACCTTATGACAAATCCTACCATAGGCACAAGCAAGCTAATACAGCCCACAAAGTATAAGTAGGTATAAGACTTAAAAAAAAAAATTATTTATGCATACAGAACTGGGGTATAGGCCAGAGGTGCAGGGGCAGAGTCTTCACCAGAGACAGAGCAGAGAGCAGAACAGGCAGATTGATGAAGTACATTGCTGAGGGGAGCAGTGGGCAAGACAGGATGATAGGTATGCCACTTGTGAATATCACCTCCCTGGTAGCAGATCAAACTCGCACGGAAGCAGCTGAGACTACCTTGCAGTGCTGCATCCTAATCCGTTGCGCCACGAGGGAGGGCCAGGACGTATATTTTAAAGATTTATTTATTTATGCATTCAGAGCTGGGGTATAGGCCAAAGGTGTAGGGGCGGTGAGAGGATTCTCCAGAGACAGAATGGGGAATAGAACAGGCAGACTGATGAAGTACACTGCTGAGGAAAGCTGCAGGTGGTCAGGAGAGATCTGCCTTGCCATGTGGATCACCTCCAGGGAGGGTGGGGATCAAATTCATGCTGAAGTGGCTTTAGCTTCTTAGCCACTGTGCCACCAGCGAGGGCCCAAGTAAAAGGCTTTTAAGGAAAGTCTTTTTTTGGTTTATGAACAATATGGATATGTTGCCTATTCAAAAAGTTAAAACAAAATTCACTGAATGATTGCTGGCAAAACAAGCTTTATGTCCTAGTAGTCAATACTTAGTAATCATCTCACTACACAAATTTCAGTCTGTTTTATGTGGTTTCTGGAATCAGAATGTTGACTTCTGGTTTAAGATAACAGGCTAAGTACAATCTGAAAATATTCCTTTCTTTTTCAAGCACAGAGAACCACAAGAAACACAAGACAGAAAATTACAAACCTATACCAGCACTAACAAAAGCTAAACAGAAATATCTGTAGATCAGAAACATAACCATTACTTGAGAAAGAAGCAGTTAGAAGCCTGAGGTGTAATATCTGGGGAGCAGGACCTGCAGTCAGACTGAGTGTAGGGTCTGAACCCAGACTTTCACATAGAGCCCCCAGGCAAACATTTACAGTTCTAGAAGTCCAGTTTGGAACCCAGACCAGAAGTTTGCTCAGCTATAGAGCACAGAAATGAAAAACCCCTGCCATACCAGTTAGGTTCCTGGAAACACAGAGTATTTGGTCAGGCTTCTCAGAATGATCTACAGATCTATAGGAGGATATATTCTGAGGGAATGAACAATTCTGTTCATGTTTAGCTCATAAAGTTATTTTAAATACATATTAATATTTTCAATTGTGTTCATTTTTAAACTAAAAATATATTCACTCAAATCTCTAAAAGGTACAAAAACCTGGAGAGGGGTGGACAAGATTGTGTGTTTTCCTGATCCTTGGATACATTTTCTTCATTAGTTTTGCTGGTTTTTTTTTTTTTTTCAAACTCTGTTCTAAAGAGAAATTAGAATATTTATATATAGTCTAGGGAGTGGTAAAGTGAGACTATTGAGCTTTATTTATGAAGCCAGGAAACACTGCAACAAGATTTCCTTTAGCCATTTACAAATTTATAAATCTGTTGCCACTTCTTAAAAGTGCAAGGGTTTGTACATACATATATGTCATAATGATCATTGTTACTTCAAACCTGCAACCTATCACTGTAATTACTAAGAAAAGTGGGGGAATGCATTATACTCATTTTTGTTTAGAAAACAAAAGGAATTGAACTTTAAACGACTGTTTATTAACTAATTTCAAGGTATTTTATTTGACTTTCAAATACCATGCAAAGCTATAATATGTATGGAAAACTTTCTTTTATTATTATTATTATTTTAATGGCAGGTGTATTAGCAAAAGGAGAAAGAAAAAGAGAGTACCTGCAGTCACAGGTAGACAGGAGAGATGCCTCTTTTAATATTTAGTATGCTTGTCCTTGAATGTTAATTTAATTAGAGGAACTTAGTCCATATAATATGGTATATAGAAGACCCAAATATTTGTATTTGGCAAAATCAGTTTTATAGATCTGAAACTCAGGAAGTCTTAAAGTCTTCCTGAAGTCTCAAGTATTGAATGAGAAGTGCATTGTCATATTTCCTTTGAAGTATTGCCAGAATGAAGATGACCTTTAGTTTAATTATTTGTTTATTAAATGTTTACTTTATCAGTTCTATTTGTACATTTTTTTGTTATTGACCAAAATTTATGGTCAATAAATTTTGCCTCTAGTATCATTCTTAGTAATATTTTGTATTACTGACTTTTTGTAATATTTTTAATGTCTGGCATTTTTTTTAATTTCAGAAGCTATTCTGAAATTTAAAAAATGTAGTTTTAGCTTAGAAAGTTTCTTAATTAAGATTGAAAAATAAATGAATTAACCTTTAGTAGAAGTAGATTCTTTAAAAAGATGGGTATAGTCTTGTCTTTTTTTCACATATGCAACACAGAGTCTCATTTTGCCTCTGTCACTATGAAGTTCTGAGAAAACTTGGTTGAGTTTGAAGCTGCAAAAGCATTTTATAGCTCCTAATTTGTTCCTCATTTGCATAGTTTATACTCTTGCTATTTTTTTAATCATTTTTCTTCACAATGTAATAGAAGAAGCCTTGAATTCCATTTTGGGAGTAGATGTGACATAAATCACAAAATAATTAAAATAATTATGCAGTAACTACAGTAAAGAGCAGCAGAAGTCAAAATTATTTTTGCTACTTGCTAGGCTATGTAAAAGCGCCATGAGCAAACAGAAAAGTTGTATATTTGAGTTTATGATTGAATTTTCCAGGTTCTTAAAACCGCAGCCTTTATTCTACCATAAAATTTCTCAAAAAGAGTAACAGGAGGATAATAAAAATTATTATGTGTACAAATTGATAGAGTGGATAGAGAAGAAAGACAATGAACCACCATATTTATTCAGAGACACAGAAAAGAAACTTCAGATGAGGAGAAAAACTATTAATAAAACATTTTATATAGAGCCAACAATTCTGCGAAACATGGAATAACTTTCCTTATAATTAATGTCATATTATCAAGATGCTAGAAATAGAATTGCTGAAGAATATTATTAGTATTATTATTAAGCCTATTTCTCCCTGGGTACATAAAAGTCACAAAGGATTAGAGACATGCATTTGAGTTTATAAAAATCTTGTAATGTGAACATAAATTTGCTTTATGAAACTTGTGGTTGACCCTCAGAGAAGCAATAATCCCTAGAACCTCTCTCCACATAGTTATGTATCCTCAGCTGTGTACTATTCAATGCTAAAGGGCATGGGAATTTGTTACTTGAAAATGGGGTGTAAAGTTTTTGTATTTAGCCCAACTATAGATCTAACAAGATCCCCAAAAATAGTTGTATCTGCTTAATAAAATATACAGAATGTGGCATGGCAGCTATGAAATATATCAAGAACCGTGTTATCAAATGCTAAACAGCTTGGAGCCCTGTCATCCTTAATTTGCAAAACATTTGAAGGTAAATTAGGGTTAGAAAGATGCAGAGGAAAGTTTTAAGTGAATATTGGATTTTCTGGGAGTGGATGATGTAGACACTAGTTCAAAATGTAATCTTGAACAATAACTTTGATTTGTATTTTTTTATCATTGTCAGATTTTGTCTTGTACTTCCCATCTGTGAGACATTAAGCAAGTTTATTCATCTCAGAATGTCAGTTTCCTCGTCGATAAAATTTGGAAAATCAAAGTAGTTATCAGTTACTGTGAATACTGTTTCAAGTGACAGGTTTAGAAGTGTTGACAGATAGTAATGGCTCCATACATGTTAACTTGCCAGGCATTGAGTGAGAAAGGAAGTAGTGCTTGAATTTAACTAAATTTCACCTTCTGGAAAAGCAAATATGTGTTCAAAAATAAACAAACAGTAAAGTGCTCTTGAAGTGATAGCACTGACTCACACTCATCTCAGATGAAGTGACATAAAACTTGGTACTTAACTACAGTAGATGTTCTAAAGTAATGATACTTTCAAAGACTAATAAACTCAATGAAAGTTTTAAAATTTTACCCCCACCCCCGATATCTGTAGTTTTCATGTTTCAACATCAATCCAAAATAAGTTCTTAGGTAAAAGATAAGCAACAAAGAAAACTCAATGGAATTGCCGATGGATTGTTAAAAATGGATGTTCTTATGGAATACTGATGATTCTGAACTATCTCAGAAGAACAATGCTGGTTTCAGAAGTAAAAATTTACACCCAAAGATAGGCCAATTAGGTATAGTAGTAGTAAACATCTGTCTATTTTTGTGACTCTTTGATGTTGAGCAAGCTTGATTGTTTCCAGTGCCTTTAGGAGATGTTGGAAAGAACCATTTGTGTCAGTGTTCTGAAACTTTCACATTAGCACCATCTGCATATAGACATGTGTATGCATGGCACATACTGAACAGACTGACCCTGTCCTTGATAGAGTTCAGAACCAGGTAAGGAGGGCATTTTGTGAAGTGCTTGGTTTAATTTAATTTAAAGTGTTCCAAATCTTTGGACAGACAAATGATTCAAATTGGTGAAGGATTGTTTACAAAGAATTGATCCAAGTATTAGTGTGTTCTGAAAGGAGGGGGTGGAAAGCCCAATGTCAAGTGTATGCTTGGGTTAATTCAGACTAGAATATCTAGAATATAAGTTCAAATGCATGTCTCTAATCCTTCATCATCTTCCCACAAGAAAAAAAAAATGTTGATCCAAAGTGAACTGCACTGTTTGAGGAACTGAACTTTCAGAGGGATCCATTTTCATTTATATATATATATATATATATATATATATATATATATATATATATATATATATATATATATATATATATATATATATATATATATATTTAAACAGCAGGTTTAATAGAAAAGGGACAGAACAGTAAAAGACACTTGAATAGACATAAGCAGGGCAGGAAGAGCTGCCCCCAAAGGGGCAGGTTTGCTGTGAGGCCTGCATGGCTGCAAGCCAGGCCAGTGACTTTGAGTGGTGGGGGGATTGCCCCAGCTGAGGGAGGTCAGTATAAAGAAGCCCCAGCATGGCACAGGCCACTGGCAGGCAGGAGGCTGCTGCCTTGTCGAGGGAGGAGGAGCTATATAGGGACAGATGGGCAGAGGACTGCTGTCTCCATTGTCATTTTAATCTGAAAATAATCATTGGCAAAAATAGGCTGTCTGTGCTTCTATAGAAAATTTCTGCCTCCTTCCATAATTCCCTCATTTCTTTGTCTTCATTTTGTGAAAATTTGTACTTTCTACTCCTTTTTTTTTCATTACATTCCTTCAAAGATTTCCTCTTCTAATAATTCTGATCTTTCTTTCTATTAATCGTCCCTCTTTTTCTCCTCCTACTCTCCTGCTAAATATTTTTCATTGAAATAGTTTTCAGAAAATGTGTATTTCTAAGAGAACTTCAAGATAATAAATAACTTAGGTAATGTTTTATTTTAGAAATGACAGCAAAAATTCATACCATAATGCAAAGCAATAAATATAATAAGCTGTCAGCATTTTTTTTTAAAGATTTATTTATTTATACAGAACTGGGGTACAGGCCAGAGATGCAGAGGGTGAGAGGATTCACCAGAGACAGAGTGGGGCACAGAACAGGCAGATCGAGGAAGTACACTGCTGAGGGGAGCAGCAGGCGGGCCAAGGAGAGGTCTGATACACCATGTGGATCACCTATGGGGCAGACAGGGATCGAACTCATGCAGAAGTGGCTTAAGCTTCTTAGTGCTGTGATTTAACCTGCTGCGCCACCAGGGAGGGCCCAGCTGTCAGCATGTTTAACCATATTTCAAAAATATTTTTATATTGCAGGAGAAGGTATATGTCACTTTGCAACATAAATTTATCATATTCATAGCTATTGAGTCTATTAGAGAGAAATCTCACCTAGTGCTAGGAAGATAGAATGTGATTGTTTTTATTGTCCTTTGATTTCAAGCACTATTTACTGTATAGTGACCAGAAATAAATCTTTTTACACCAGCACCTACTGACAAACTTTATATATCAAGTACAGAAATCGAGGTGGTAAATGCAACAAAGTATTTTTCTTGACTAATGAAGATGATGTATCTTCTTTAAGTGGATATGTAGAAATATAAATTTCTAAACTGTATACTTATTTCCAATGACTTCCTTTCAAGTGAATGCATATGGAAATCTATTAGTTAATTAGATTATTCCACTTAGTTGTCTATTCTTTTATAATGGGACTCTTCAGAAGTATATCTTTGTATGCAGCATGTAGGATTTATACTAATATATATTTACTAGCACCTAGAACAGTCTTACTGGCATTCAGGCAGATAACACATATTTCTCAGTGATGCTAAGCAGACACCATTCCAATACACAGTTTAATTGCCTTTAAGAAACACCATACAAAGCTGAAAACAGGGCAAGTGTTATTGTTATTATTACAGAGTTAAGTGTTTGATGTCTGCTTTGTCTCTAAGCTTTTTTCTAGTACTCAAACCCTCTGTAATAACAATTAGATCTGATTATGATTATGTAGTGGATATCTTAATTTTGCATGTTTTCTTCAACAGACAATACATAATCTATATTAATTATCTTATATTTTAGTGAGTATGAATAAGCCCCAGAGCTATGTAGGCCTTTGTATTTTGCTTTCTAGCTCTTTGCCTGGTAAATGATTCTATACTTCCCTGTAATAACTGTGAATTATTGTTGATAAAATAGCTGCCTTTTATTAAAGGTGCATTTTAATTTGGCATTAGAAACAACTGGCTTTAAAATGTGATTGGCCTGAATATCATTTTAGATTCTTTTTGGAGGTATATTTGCCATGAAAATATGCTCTGTGGGAATTTAGTGAAATAGCTGATAATGTATATCATGTTTAGTTTACAGGAAAAGGCAAATGCTTCATTTTTTTGGTTTGTTTGTTAGTTATTACTTACATCAAAAGTGAAATAAAATTTTAAGCTAACTTTGATATGTGTCCGATATCATTGATAAAATGAGTCAAGTGAGGAAAAAAAAAACCTCCATTTCTTTGTGATGACTCATCAAAATCCCCCTTGTTTCTAAAACCGTTAAGAATGAAGGAGTGAAGTCTCCCTGCTTTGTTTTTCCAATTACCTTTAGGACTTATAGAAAAAAAAAAAAACATCTCAGCTACTATATATTTCTTTGTAGGAGCCAGTGAGAAAGAAATAGTCCTGATGAATGCTTTGAGTGTTAATTTACATCTTCTACTGGTAAGTTTTCTTTCCCACCAATGTTTAGTATACACTCATTTATAGAATCTGACATTTTTCTATCTTTAATTCATGAGCACTGGGTGATTTATTTATTTAAAAATGTTGTAAGGTTATTTTCATTTTTTATCAGGAAATCTTAGACCATGTAATAAATTCTTCTAATAATCATGGGAAAGTTGACTCCTCCAAAGAGTTTTAGAATAAGGAAGATTTCTTATCTTTAAACATAAATAATAAGAGTCCTAGTGGGTGAAAAACAAAACTGCTTGCAAACACACAAAACAATGATGTACAAATGTTTCAAAGCACTGAGCTTTTCAGTAGGTTTTCCAAGATGCTGGACTTCAGCAGTGTGGAATTATGAATCAATGTGCTTTTGTAAACTGATTTTTGGTAAGTAATTTTTAAAAAATAGAATATAAAACTAAATTGGAGAAAAGGGATCTAGTCTCCTAAATAAGTTTCTGTGTTTAAACTGCCTCTTAGAACCCTAAGTACATTATAAAAATTTATATCTTCATATATTAAATATATTCTCAATTTTGTATATGGCATCTATAGTAATTACTTAATACTTGGAAAAAATAATTTTATTTTTAAGTGAGATTTCAAAAATTCAACACCAAAATGCACAATAAAGATATTAATATTTTAATAAAATGGGGAGATAATCACTAGACATTTTAGGGACATGCTTAGGGAATATGCTAAATGTAATGATAACTATAATTTTAAGTTCAAATACCACTGGGTTTGACTCCCAAATAAGTTATTTAGTATCTGTTTGAATTGGCATTTCTAAATCTCAATTTTTCCCTCTGTAAAAATGTGCTAAATAATATTTACTTCATAGGAATGCACAATTATAAAATATTGTAATATGTAGAAATGACCTTAACACCCTGTTCACTGTTCTACAGTTAATTAACAATAGTGGTGATTTTTTTCTTCTTATTACTATGAGTCAATATTTATTCTCTGGTAACTGTGGAGAAAAAATGAAATGAGTTCCACTGAAGGCATTTCTCACTGGTGTTTCTAGAATTGTCATTGTGTCATGTTATAGCTAAGGTACTTTTGGTTGGACCTAAAATAGTTAAGTGGTGGAAATATTTTATTAGAAACCAAATCAGCAGTATAAGACGAATCTATATAAATTAGATATACATAGCACATGATATTTTAGTCCACGATAGAGAATTTGCCATTTAATATATTGGGAGATAATTTTTCAATTAAAATTTAAGTAAAGTTTGAGTATTTGTTTTTATCTGATTCCCATTTTCTCCTATGTTTACTTTCCATTGATAAACGTAATGAGTCAATATATTCTTCCTCTTTATAATTCACTGGCAACAAGGCTAATTGGAAAAAGTACCCTAGACAGACATCTCGATTTGTAATTAATTAATACCTTTAAAATGCTGGAGATTATAAAATGAAGCTATGGAATGAAATGAACAAATGTATACATTGTGTGTTAATGCTTTTTTCAATAAATCCATTTTATTGCAGTTATCATTTTATAAGCCTACACCAAAACGTTATAAAATTCTTCTAGAAGCCAAAGCCTTCCCTTCAGATCATGTAAGGATTCTTCAAATTATATTTATAATCTTTCTATTCTTCCTCGAGGAACATATCATTTGCTTGACTGAATGTTTATTCACTAATTTTTTTCTAAGTAACTTTACAATAAAAAGATCTGTCAAATGCTTTTGATTTAGATGTTTTTTATAGATTGCAGCTTTATTTCTTTTGTTCAAGTAAAACATGCTAAAGGAAGACAGGATTGAATATGAACATTGATTTATTAGCCTTAAAGACAATGAGTGAAACTCTAGTCTAAATCAAATGGAGTTATGAATGTTTTATTAATTCTTGTTGTTCTGTTTTATGAAATCAAATCATTGTACACCCCAGTATTTAGCCCTTTAGCAACACAGAACAGCAATATAAATTTTTATTTGTCCATTTCTTTTCTTTGCATGCTAGCATAGTTATCTGTGCTTTATTATTAAAAAATTTCTTAAAGGTTAAAAATTTTATAATTCACTAAAAATCATCTTAATCAGAATTTTAACTGATACAAATTTGATTGGTAAAAATACAGACAAATAAAAGCATATTGCATATTTCTGTTTATTGTTAGCACATCTTGATTTGTCTTAATATTGTCATTGTGAAATATTATATCCCACATATTGGGATATAATTTTAAGGCAGTTAATTTTGTCCATATAAACCTACCAAATTAAATAAAAGGATAAAATTGTAAAGAGATAACAAAGACCCTATCACTGTTTATTTCCTTGTACTTTCAATGATGGGGATTTTAAGATTTATTTATTTATGTTTTCAAGAGCAGGGGTGTAGGACAGAGGTACAAGGGTGAGGTGGGGTGGAGGAAGGATTCAGAGTGAGAGCAGAACAGCAGAAAGGTCCACTAAGTACACTGCTTAGGAGAGCAGCAGGGCAATCAGAAGAGGTCGGCTGCATCATGAGATCATGAAGATCACCTCCCGGGGGTGGGGATCCAACACACACTGAAGTGGCTGTTGCTTGCTTGCAGTGCTGCGCCTTAACCCTTTGCTCCACCAGGGAGGGCCCACTTTTGGATCTCCTTTTACCAACTATAAAGTTAGGCCATTTCTTTGTCCTATGTTCAAATACGTAAGTCCACACTACTCGCTTTGGTTAATTTGCAAACTGTTTTGAGTTAGGTTAAGTGATTTTTATATTTTATTTTTGAAACCCTTATGTCCCTGGATGACCATTACATTTCTATCTAGTTCTAATGTCTAGTGTTTCAAGAACATGCAGGTTCCTGCATATAATTTATGCTAAGCATTTCTTCTCTGAAATATTATTTTCAGTCATGTTTTACCTGAAACTTGGAGATAATATAATGATGTACTTTTATTGTTATGTTATTATTTTTTTAATTTTGTAATAGTTTATTTTTACATATTTTTGTGCATTTTTCCAATGTTATTACTTTTTTATCAGAGTTTTTCTATGAATATAATTCTGTGCATTGGGCTTATTTAATAAATCATCCTTCTTTTTCTAGTATGTTATTGAGTCACAGCTTCAACTTCATGGACTCAATGTTGAGAAGAGCATGCGCCTCATAAAGCCAAGAGAGGTAAATAAGAAAGAGAAATAAATATTCATTAAGCTTCTATTTAGTATTGATCTTTTTCATTCTCCTCAAAGTTTTATTATTTTTATTACTTTAATGGAATTTTGAGGAATATATAAAAGACCTTTATTTCTCTTACCATTAGATCATTTTGACTAAAATAAAGAATTAGCATAGAAGTGTATTTGCTCATATATTTCAAGATGAGTCAAAAGAAAAGCAAATTATTTTCCCATTAATACCTCTGGAATCTGTCATATTTCAGTGGAATGACTTGGATGGCAAATAGCTTATATAATTTTCCATTTCAAATATCATTAACTAAGGATGCCAATGAAACAATGGAAAAAGTTTTGATAATTATTGAAATTGAATAATGCCCCTCTTTTATGTCTCAATTTTAATCTAAATATCATTCAGTGTACGTAAATGTGTGTGTAGGTGTATATGTATACTGCAGTATAGAAATGGATGTGGTGTAATAGAAATTACTTATAATTTGCAACCTGGTTAACATACTCCAAAGAATTCAGACCCACCAACTTACTGGGTCTATGACTTTGGGAAAGTTAGTTTTCCTTTTTTTAATATGTATTTATTTATGCATACCAGAACTGTAGTGTTGGCCAGCAGTGCAGGGTATGAGAGGTTTCACCAAGACAAGGTGGGGAACAGAACAGGCATATCTACTGAAATACACTGATGAGGGGGACATAGGGTGGGACACAAGAGTTCTCCTGTGCCATGTGGGTCACCTCCCTGGCAGAGTGGGTTTGAACTTTGAACTTGTGCAGCAGTGGCTGTGGATAGCTTGATAGTTCTGTATTTAACCCCTGTACCACCAGGGAGGCCCAAACTGGAGTTTATTTTTGAAACCTCTTCTTATTTAAACAGCTAACAAAGGAAGAAAGTAAAAGGCTTGACAGTATGTTCACATTCTAAAATACTGGATACTTTACATTAATAGAGATTTACAGCTCAGTTGTACAGAATTAGGCATACTAACCATGTAATTTAGGTAATTTGTCACCAAAAGATGCACAGAGAATGAATTTTATGTTTTGGATATGATGCTTTCAGGCTGTCAAACCAATATTTGAATAATTATTTCTTTCAATTCATATTTTTTAAAAATGAAAATCTTTAATCACTTCTATTTGCCAACATGCAATAAATTAATGGAAAAAAAAGTTGTTCTACCTGTGGATGTTACCAGTATTATATGTGATATATAAATTGCTAACTTGCAGCCCAAGTGAATATAGTATATCACAGGTTAAATATATCACAAGTTAAAAGTAACAAGTGTTATGGAATCTCATGACTTAATCACAGTCTTGGGAGTACTTCAGTATAACCAGATTAATAGGAAAGAATAACATATGCTTTCACTAAGAAATAATATTTCTTGTTTGTTTAATGCTAATTCAAAGAAATAAAATGTTAGTTTATATCATAATTTTCTTATTTTTTTCAAGTTATGGTCGACATTAGATTCTTCTAAAGAATTTTGTGTTACATGACACTAATTTTACTTAGAATTTTCCTGAATATTGCTAAAATCTTTTTTATACATGTAAAATATTTATGTTTTAATAACACAGAAATTTCAATGACAGTTATGTTTCTGGATACTCCCATTTTGTAAAGAACTTCTAGGTGTCTAGTACAAATTAAAGTATCCTACAGTATGCATTATATTGGGCATACATTAGTATATCTATTTGGTATATGCAGTTATATACATACACACACACACAGGAAGAAATTGGCAAAAAAGCAAGAATACTGACCCTCCTTGGAGGCGCAGCGGGTTAAAGTATAGCACTGTGAATCTAAAGCGGCTTCTGCATGAGTTCGATTCCTGCCTGCCCCGGAGGTGACCACATGGCGTGGCAGACCTCTCCTGACCTGCCCGCTGCTCCGCTCAGCAGTGTACTTCGTCGATCTGCCTGTTCTGTTCCCCACTCTGTCTCTGGTGAAGGCTCTCACCGCCCCTGAGCCTCTGGCCTGTACCCCAGTTCTGTATGCACAAAATAAATAAATCTTAAAAAAAAAAAAAAGCAAGAATACCAAAAATGAAAAATAACTGAAGTCATATTTATGATTACCTTAGTGGTCTTCTCCCAAATATCACTATAGTTAATGATAACTTGACTTCAAAATCATGTAAGATTTAGCACTGGAGAAAATTCATGAAGATTTAGGAAATAAATAAGAATTGTTAGAAAATGAGATGTTGTATTTTTAGTTGCTTTTTTCCCCACTCAGGTTCTTGGCAAAACCAAATCTAGATTCATTCACAATTTTCACTAAGTTACCAATCATTTGTCTTTGATGGGGAGATGTGGAAAAACATAAATGCAATTATAATGAATTTTTTTTTTTATTTCTCTCATGTTTCTTTTTGTATCCTTAGGTTGCTGTGAAAGAATCTTTCTTCTTAAGTTAAGAGAAATTGTGGTTAAGGTGTACTCAACTGAAAGATAGATATGTGTTTTTTTCCCTTCCCCCCCTTGGGAAAAAAAATGACATGATATTAGATTGACAAATGAATTACTAATTTTCAAGAAATTTCTCTTACCACTTAATATTCCATGGACTTATGTTACTATCTGGCATTTTATTAGATGAGAATAAAAAGGAAATACTTTGTAAATAGCTAAATAATAAAAGTTAATGAAAAACTGAAGAAAAAATCAAGCAAGTAGAGTTAAGCAAAGACTTACAATTTATAAGCCTCCTTTTACTATTTCACTATTATTTACTAATGACAGAAAATATGTTCAAATACTGCTTCCTTGACAAATTTTGAAGATCTTTAATTTGAAAAGGTGTAGATTTTGTTTCCTTGTGATGGGACGAATTCATGGTGTTTTCATATTGGGAGGTGACAAATTAATTTTTGTGGCTAGATAGTAATTTGTGCCTAATTTGATATTAGGGGGAAGAAACTTTGAGAATGGAAGATATCCTTGAAGTAATTGACAAAGAAGGAGACTCGATTGCAGTGATCCTATTTAGTGGGGTACATTTTTATACTGGACAGCTCTTTAACATGCCTGCAATCACCAAAGCTGGACAAGCAAAGGTACGCATATTTCCTCCATCCTGTTTCATCTGAACACCTTTCCACTAAGAGATATTAATACCTGCTCATCTACTGAGATATCAGTAAATGTGCCTGTGTAAAAAGTTTTAAAGAGGTGAAAAAGAAAAAAAAAAAAAAAAAAGCAAAGCTCACATTTACAAAAAAATCTCTAGTCTATTTTGTGTTAGGTATCTCTATTTAAATCTTTGTCACCTGAGTCGTCACCTCCTTGCTACAGCACCTGCTATCTGGTGTTGGCCTCTGTCAGCAGGACAGGTGAGCTTCCTGCAGGTGATGTCATCAGTAAAGAGCTGCTCAGTCACCAGGAAGCAGACAGAATACTTGGTACAATAACTACTTGCCAGAGGGCTAAAATCTCAAATGGGGTGTGGTACCTTGTCATATCCCAACTCATTTGAAATGTAATTCAGGTCTCACTTAATCCTGGCACCTGAAGGAGAGATGCAGCATTAACAGGTTTTATTAGCAGAACAAGTTTTACAATTTACTTTAGGGAAGCCATTTTGTTCCCAATTATCTTGAGAAATTATTATACTACCTGTAATGAGAGTTTTTCCCCTACATATTACTACATTAGAATTAAATTGTTTACCACTTTGCTATCATCTCTCTTTCTATATAAGTGTTTATAAAAGAAAACAGTGTTTTAATATTTGTTTACCTGGGGAAAGAAATCACGAAAGTGACATTCAACAATTAGCATGTACACTTAAAATCCTTAAGTAACAGTTATTTTTGTTTCAGCAATCAAGTCATGTATTTAAAAAGGTGACAGTGGAATTTTCTCCTGAACATTAATAAGTTATGGGACTAATAAATGTGTGAGATCTAGTTAATATATTCAGTTATCGAAGCTAATGAATGGAACTAATGAAAAGTAATTTAGCACAGTTATCAGCAGTCTCTAGGAATTTCTAACCATGACTTCCAACTGGTTTGATGGATAACTGTGAAAGTGGTGCATTACAAAAGATATAAAGATAATGTCTTCTTAATTTAGATATTTAATGTTAAGCACCAAAATAAAGGGAAACCAATAAAAAATCATATTTTAAAATTTTATGCAAGTGATAAGGAACCTCTTATCCCCTCAGTATACATACATGTCTCATTAACCTTCACAGATATAAGGCAGGAGGATAGAGAAGAAAGACCAGGGGTTGTGACATCACACAGTCTGTGGTTCAAATTTTGGCTATATCCTTTAGCTGTTAGATGGAAATCTCAGGCAACTTTTGTGACTTCTGAATCTCTCATCAAAAGTGTTACTTTGGGATACACTGGATTGTACACATGTAGCTGCTAAATGCTGATTCCCTACCCTCCTCTGTCTCACCAACATACAATTACAGAAAGTGGCTCAGATGCATTTTTTTTTCGCATTAAAAGGCAAAATAAACTTGTTTACTTAGGTGTTATATGTAGGTTTCATTCCTAACTACTTGGTTGCTAAAATCATTTCTCAGTTTTTTGTAGTTTTCTTTCACTTAAAATTTTTAATAAGTGAAATGATGTTCTCTTGAGGCTTTCAGTCAAATAAAGAAGGCAGGAATAAGCAATTCCATCTAAATATAGCTGCTCAGAAGTGATGGATATTTTGGGAGTGAGATGGTAATACAGTAGGCTTAAATTTATCTTTAATCAAAGTTATTCTAACAAATGTTTATACCCCTGCTAGAGAATTCTCCTGTTCTCAGTGGAGATTGAAGAAATTTCTTTTATATGGGGACTTAGCTCTCTGAGGTAGTCTGCTAAGATAAAGCTGAAGAGAGGGGCAGAGAGAATATTAAACATGTCAGTCAAGAAAGAGATAGGAAGTTATATGAGCAAAAAGCATAAGAGAATCACTGTTGGGAATTGTTGAAATTTTAAAAAAGGAGGAAAGTTTTCCAGAAATGAACTGTGGTAGAAACCAAAACTGATGTTGGGATGATACAATCAAGTCCATAAGCTAGATTTTGAAATGGGAACTTCAGAATCACAAATAGAGATGTGGAGACAAGGATTGTGAAATTTATTTTCATTAAAGGCATGTATGCATAACAAAGCAAACATAAATCATAAGTGACTTGATGGGTTATTTTGAACTTTTATAGCTATCATCTTACAGAACAAATAGTATTCAGAATCCTCAATTGTATTTTCTCCCAGTTTCTGTCTGCTATATCTGTTCCAAACTATTCTCTTACTATCTTTGTCTATCTTTGAACTTTATGGATCCATATTTTTTGTTTGGCTTATTTGTTCACTATTATGTTCATGAAGAATCAACCTTGTTGGATACAATATTAATTGTGTTTGCTTATATTTTCAGTATTATAATACGCAACAGATTAGAATTTAGTTTTTTTTTCCTTTTGAATCAGTGTAATAATATAGGTTTTATTTCTTTTTAAGTATTAATAAAAAATACTACTCTAAAGAATTTATTTGGGCAAGTACTCATAGTTTTGTTAAGCGTGTGTCTAGAGGTAGAATTCTAAGAATGTAAGTTATGTGCATATTTGATCCTAATTAATAATTTCAGCTTTTGGGCCACCCTGATGGACTAGGTGCTAAGTCTAAGAACATTATTATTGCTATGGCCTGGGTTTGATCTCGGTTAGGGAGATGACCCACATATGGCATAGCAGACTTCTCCTATCTTGCCCACTGTGCCTCTTAGCAGAGTGCTTTGGTAAATCTTCTCATTCTGTTCCCACCCTGTCTCTGGTGAATCCTCTCACCACCCCATATCATCAGCTTGCACCCTAACTTTTATATGCATAAGTAAATAAATATATAAAAAAAAGATTTTTTTTTAAAGTAGACATTGCTCATTACCATCTCTGCATTTAATACCTCTTGTGATATAAAACACTGTCACAATTAAGTTCTCACCACCAAAGGAAAGCTAAAGGGCAACTCCCACTTTAAAAATTGCTATACACGTCTCCTTTCTTATTAGATCTTAAACTTCTACCTGAGCTTTGAGATCAGTATGCTCCGGTTTCGTCGGGCAACACCACACTGAAAAAGAAACGGGAATCGTAGAGCAGGCTACATAATGCAGGATGCTGATCAAGAGCAAGATCCTGGCCTTTTTATTGATACAGTATTAGTCAAAAGAGGAAGTTAAAATGAAAAGGGAGAAGTAGAAGGAAGGTCAGGGTGGTTCTGTACTTCTCATATTGGTATTCCCTAGGTAGAATTTCACTCCTATCAATAAGGCATTCCACTGATGGGGTCCTTCATTTTACAGCAGTCAATGGGCCCCCTGACGTTCCCGTCATATCTTGTGATGTATAAGTCAGAAGTAAGTTTATACATCTGTCCTCAGGCCCCGGGGCATTTCCGGTCGTAACTCTTGATGCATGCCCTCCCAGGGTGATCCAACTTTATCTTCTTAATTGATATTAAAGTCACTTTGTAGGGTTGGCTTCTTATGACGAGGCAGTTTTGATCTTGCTTTGTTACAGAACTGTAGGTAGCTTAGGTTTAGCAGACTCACAGTCTCCATAAAAAAAAAAACCCAAATCAAACCTCTAAATGGGACTTCTGTCTCATGACACCATCCTACACCACCAGAGTCAGCTCTTACACTTCCCTGTTCTTTACTTTATCAATCTATTCAATACACCCATCAAGGCCTGTATTTACTATTCTCGATTCAACTATGACAGTTTCCTAGCTGACTATTAGTTGAAAAATAGGGATTGCTTTGTCTCACTAAAAGTAACTGGAGGCAGAATGCTGCTGGATTGGGCTCAACACATGAGCAATGTCTGAGTGGCATCTTCAAGATTCTCTTCATTTTTCTCAGACTTCTCACAAGACAGTTGTCCTAAATCCAGATACCACAATTCTATTTACAGCAGAGAGAAGGAAGAGGGAACAGTGCAGTTACATCTGTCCTTTTCATCCAAACTGCAAAATATTTCCCAGAAAAACCCAGATTTCTGCTTATGATTCAGCATCATCTGAAGTAGCAGCTTCAAATGAATAGGAGTGAAGAAATATTTAGACTTTTATGACCCTATACTATAGAAAGGCAAAGAAGAGGGAGTTGGCAATGGGGTTTGAATTAACTAATCCACAGTATTTCTGTTTCTTGATTATACTCCATGGGATATTGTTGTTTCTAACTTGTTTTCCTCTTCCCTAGTCCATCTCTCTTTGTCCTCCCTTAATTCTTCCCCATTCCCTTTCTTTCTTCTTTTCCTCCTCTTTTCTCCCTCACTCCTTCCTTCCCATCTTCCTTTCTTACTATCTTTGTGATATTTTTACTTCATTTCCCAAAACATTTGAATGCAATTCATTTAAAATTGACTAGAAGTCATAGAGAAAAATAGAGGCAATCTATATCATTGGGTGATCTGGAGATGCCAAACATTGTCAGTTTGGGTTATGAGAAGATATAGTTATTGTGATTATTATAAACACATTTAAGTTATTTTAATGGAAATTTGTGTAGATATTCACACGTTTAGATTAGATCTTAACACAAAAAAATAAACAACCCAAAATGCTTTCATTGTGATAAATGTTTATTTCTGGCTTATATAATAGCCAGGTGTGAACAGTCCCTCATGCACTGTCTCATTCAGTGAGCTGAATCTCATGCAGATTCAAGTGCCTAGTGTCTCAAGTTTGTGTCACTCTCATATCTTATATCTTAGACTCTATTTTGATTTGGCTAAAGGAATGATATAAATAAATAGATGCAAATAGGCACACTGACTTTTTAAAACCTTTGGTTAATAATGGTAAATTTATTCTACTTCTAATCTACTGACTAACACATGACTACTTCTGAATTGAATAATTCAGTATAGCTGCATGCATATGAACAGTTAAACAATACTATTAAGACACTTAACACTTGTGAAAAATACTCAGTTAATGTTTGCAATTGTCAAAATACATACATACATACATACATACATATATATATATATAAAAGACATTGACATAGTCAAATCTCACCAGAAAAATAATAA